TTTGAACCGTCACATTGTTAAATGGGATTAGGGATTATTACCCAGTCCATAGCCTGGACTGATTGGTATGCAGATTCCCAGGCGAAGGGATAAAACTCGCTGAGCTTGTCTCGCTGGGGAACCCCAGTGAGCTTCGAAGGGGAAAGCCTGTGATTGGACTGGTACATGTCTAGTCAGAGAGCTAGGTGGGGGAGCCTCTTCGGAGGAGAGAAGTGTGATTGGACTAAATATTCAAGATAAAAATTCTACTTAACTTAGTTAGTCTAAACGTGAGGGTTAGGTAAGCTGATCTCGTGCATCTTGAAGCATGACATTTCGATAGATCTATTTAGGGGGCGATGATATTCCTCTCTTAGTTTGGGGTTGAGAAAGCCCAACGTAACATGGTATATTTCAACATGTCTCGAACATTCTCTTCAATTCAGCATACTCTACAATATGGACACATTATTTGCTTATAGCACACCGATAGTATAATTCTAGAGCGCTCTATTAATGAAACCCCTTTGTGCATAATCTGCTGACTGATGCAGAAGATATTGGTCCTCGTGAGGGGCTTCTCTGATAAGCTCTTCAATGGGCCCAATGGTCTTCAGTGCCTTGACTGAAACCCTCCATAGCAAGCGTGGCTATCTCCACTCCATCAACAAGGCCGACACCGACGCCTGCCAATGCGGTTACGGACGACAGACAGTTCAACACATCCTGCTCGAATGCAGGAACTAGATGGATGAGCGACATAGGATATGGACAGGCAAACAACCATGCATGGACATCAAGCAAGTCTTGTATAGCTCGTCAATGGCAGTACAGGCAGCCAAGATAATCCTTAGGACGGGGCTTCTGGGGCAGTTCTAGACAGTCCCATCCACAGTACTCACATACTCATAGCGCAGACGGGTCGGACTGCAGACCACTTATGACTGGAGACAACCTCGGACTGCAGACCACTTATGACGGAGACCACTATGACTGCAGACCATCTACGACTGGAGACGATCTATGACTGGAGACAACCTCGGACTGCAGACCATCTACGACCGCAGACCATCTACGACTGGAGACCATCTACGACTGGAGACGATCTATGACTGGAGACAACCTCGGACTGCAGACCATCTATGACTGCAGACCATCTACGACTGCAGACCATCTACGACTGGAGACCATCTACGACTGNTTATTATTACTAGGAAGACCTATTACTCTAGTATTACTTTAAGGCGTTGTATTTATTCTTCTTAAGTAGTATTATATAATATATATTACTCCTATTCTTTATTCTATATAGCTTAGGTCTATGCCATCTACTATAGCAGCGTCTACGCCTATGTAGGGGGGCTTGTTAACTCCTATGGCTGCATGGCCATTAGGGGTAGTGTCACGTATTATTATTATTCTAATTATTATTTGTTTGCGTTTCGTTGTATTAATTAATAATTAAGAATCAGAAGCTTTTCGTATGTAAAGGGCTAAAGCTGGACTTATATTTAATCTAGCTAGGCCATGAACTGTGTACGAAAAGCTTAAAGAAAGAGAAGTTCTCTAGTCACGTTCTTCCCGTCAACATGCCATGGTCACGTGTGCGGGCGCTAGCCCGTGCCTGGTATCAGGCACTGGCCCGTGACAGTAGGACTAATAAATCAAATGTTGGTAGGCATGTGGCAAGCATCCATGCCTGCTTCCAGGTGCCAATTATCGATAGCACCACCAGAGCGAGCCCTACCTAAGTATGATTATTTTGAACTGATTCAAGCTTTATTTAAGCCCAGGGCTACTGGTTTGATTATATTATCGCATTAAAATACATTATGAGACTCACAAACAAAAAGCACACTTGAATGATGAAGCCATGTAGACAAAGGTGATGCGTGTTTTCTTTCACATCAGGCTGACGAAGAGACCTGTTGCTGTTGCATTGATGCGGCAGCTCTTTTCAAATCTTCAACTCCTTTCAACAGATTCTTCTGCTGTCCATCATAATGGACCTTTCTCATCCATTCCCCCAAAGACTTTATTCGGTCAGGATGGATCCTATCCAAAAGAGCCATGTCCCTGCATTCAGCATGGCCCTCACCCCAGTACCTCCACCAAACCGAGAAATTCTGGCGCCATGTCATTGTTGATCCGTCCCTGACAGCGTTTGGTCCTGCAGCAAAATTTGCTGGCGCATTTGGAAATGGCTCGGCGATAGGCAAGTACTCCTCAAGTGGTACATACTTGTGTACACCTTTCTTTCCTGTCACCTTGGTGAACACTGCTGCAATATCCGCGAAGCTAACTTCATCTGTTGCAACTTTGAGGTCCATTCCTGCGGACTCTTGTGGATTGTCAAACAGCCATAAAGAATAAGGCCCAACATCCTCTAGAGCTATGAGAGGTATTTTCCCAGATTCTATAAAATAAGAATTCACATTAATTACTGTTCATGTCCGATTGACATACTGAGTGAGGTAGGGAGGAAAGACGTACTTGCGGGATTAGCCCAGACAAGAGACCCATCAGGTTGCTGCGTAGGCACAAACATGCCATCCCAAAGCATGTCCATATAGGGCCCAGTAGTAATCTTCGCGCATCTTCAACTGTCGGATATTTTGATAACTTTTGGCGAGTGCTGGATCGGTCGGTAATTGCCAGGAAAAGGATATTTTCCCTCTAAACGCCGATAAATACTCCGTGGTCTTCTATGTAAGACTTTTTGGGCCTCCAATCACGAACTAACTCATCAAATAATGGATACTCCGGAAGCTTCTTTCGAGATCGGCATGGCAGCACCGTCGGGTTGATTACTATTTTTTTTTTTTTTTTTGGCTTTACTCCGTAGTTAGCTAACATAATTCCCGGGTGATCCATGCTTCTTTCGAGATCGGCATGGCGGCACCGTCGGGTTGATTACTATTTTTTCTTTGGCTTTAGTTAGCTAACATAATTCCCGGGTGATCTGGCCACCTTCTTAAAATCCCACGTGTTAAACTACTGGGGTGGCTGGATCACCCAGGAATTACATTATTAGGGCCCACCATCACTCAGTTATGCTGCACAATGTCACCCTGTGCCCTTACTGACGTCACCCCTTGGCTTTATCCCATGGAATTCCTTTACTCCAACCTTATTTTGTGATGAAAACATGGATAGAAGTAATGTAAGACGCATAGGCTAGTTGGGACAGTTGTGGTGACATAAGTAAAAATCAATCGAATTAAGCAGGGTAGTTCACAAATCATTGTTGCACTGGGATGATCACAATGATCAGCCCTTTTCAGATGATATAATCTTCATGGGGAAACGACCGGGGATGGTTAGTCATCCTGCCCTCGTTGGTAAGTTAGTGGCTCATCTGGTTCCAAGGACCTTGGTTTGACTTGAAGCTATCTTTCCACTAGCTCCGCGTCTTGGCAATCCCGTTTATTGTTCAGCCTCGGGCCTGATATGTCAATGGCGCCGTTGTGGTGGTACGACGCATGTCAAAGTAAGATGATTAGTGATACTACCACGTCTCAACTACGTGTACAGGGATATTTACTGATCCATAGTTTTGTGATCAATAATTGTTGGTGTACTGGAACTAACAACCCCAGGGTTTTGCCCCTTGATTTAGATCATAAAACGGCCAGACAACCTCACAACCGACACAGGTCAACTTTTCACTATACTTTCCAATTTTTTACCGCTGCCTTTATTGCCCAAATGGCATCACGAGGAATTACAAAAATATTTGTTGTTGGAGGGACCGGCGCACAGGGCATACCGGTCATCTCTGGTCTAGTGAGTGACAAGAAGTACCAGGTTCGGGTGCTCACGCGCAACAGGACATCCCCTCGTGCCAAGCAACTGGAATCTCTTGGAAATGTTGAATTTGTCGAAGGGTCATTCGCGAGCGAGCCCGATCTTCGCCGGGGTTACCGTGGTTGCGATGGCGCATACATCAACATAGATGGGTTTAACTGTGGCGAGAAAACCGAGACCTACTGGGCAGTTCGCGCTTATGAACTCGCTATTGAAGAAGGTATCAAATTTTTCGTCTACGGAAACCTGGACTATGGGTACAAAAAGAGTGGATATAATCCAAAGTACCGATGTGGGCATTATGACGGAAAAGGACGGATTGCGGAATGGGTGCTTTTCCAAAACCAATTCAACCAGGATCGGATTAAAGCCGCTGTCTTTACAACTGGACCCTATATTGAAATGACAATTTCAATGGGGACTCCTATGTCTCCAACAGTGGAGGATGGGGTTCTTACTTGGCGGGTCCCGTTAGGCTCAGGTGCCATACCCCATGTGTCTCTGGACGATTGCGCGTTCTATGCCCGCTGGCTGTTTGATAACATCGATAAAGCCAATGGATTGGACCTGGAGGTTGCGGTTGAACACGTGCATTATAAGGACCTCGCTCATGCTTTTGAGGCTGTTACAGGCCACCCGGCGCTGTTTATTGACGTGGACCTGGACACCTACTGGACAAAGGGACCTTTGAGCATGGCTGCAGAGCTGGGTGGGGGCTATAACTCAGATCCCAATGATCCAGCTTTCATGACAATTCGGCAGAATTTCACTGGGTTTTGGAATCTGTGGAAGGACTCCGGTAAAAATCAGGGGATCATTAAGAGAGACTATGAGTTGCTCGATAAGATTCATCCAAACAGAATCAGGAATGTTGAGCAGTGGTTTCGGAGGGTAAATGATCAAGGGATCAAGGATGGTAGAGGCAGTCTATGGGAAAGAGTGCAGCCAGAGAATATGAGGCCAGTATTGAAGATGGCTGAGGATGGGATGAAAGGGTCGCTCTGAATCATAAGGCCAAATCGTCTATGTATTTTGTGGATTTTACTAAGTATATAACAAATTGCATCATCCTGTAATTTGGTGGTACATATACAAAATTATTGGCGCTTCTTACGATACCTATCTTAACAACTGGATGAGGCCTCCGTCAAGTGGAGAATCAATGATTCTGGCCAGTAATCAATATCCGTAGTTAGAGTATTCTCCTCATAGTCCCATTTGACAACGTTCTCGATGGCCGAACGCCGCTTCGGGTGAGACTTCATAATACATTAAGTATCCGTAGCTATGCCTACGCATTCCAGGCAGTTGTCCCTCCAACAGCTCTCCTCGTGATTCAGACAGGATCCGCGCATGTGTAGTACTGTACATAGCGCATCGGCGTGAAGGCAGGGTCGTCTTAATGCAATGGGGAAAGTGTTTCTCGTCAAGCAAAACCTCTCGATTTCCAATTAGAAATTTCAGTATGTCTTCGCAGCCACTGATGGCTGCTTGATGGACACATTCATAAATCGACTGGAGCTGCCTTTCCATGTAGTAAGTAGTTAGTTGGACTAACCATACTTTATGTAAATTTCTCAATTATCTTTTCAAAATCCTCATACTGGATTCGCTGGTCAACCGATATAATACACATCCTCACAGTGTAGCCGTCACATGCATAGACATATGCCTCTTTTTTTTTAGTTTTTTTTTTTTTTTTTTTTTTTTTTTTTTTTTAGAAATTCACAATAGCATAGTGCCGTTCATATAATAAGGGAGTAGCTCTATTTTTGTCCACCACGATGTTTCCTGTAGCAGTGTCACCACATCCAGATTTCCGGTGATCGTGATCGTGGTGGCGCTTGGAGAAAAGGATCTATATGGAATTATATCGTCGGGAGACAATACCTGCTCTATGTTTGGCAAAAGGAATATTAGTTTTATGGAATAGGAAACAATTGTTCTTTAATCGGTAGCCGTCAGAGGGAGAGTTCGCACGTCCACAACCAACCATATACCTACCTCCAAGCCCTCTTTTCAACAAAAATTACAGGCCCAAGTACTGCCTCGCTGTTTAGTTCTTGCAGTTCTTGCCGTTCTTGTCACAGCAGTCCCGTTTACCAGTCATGAGTATTATACCGGAACAACACGGAGGCTTCGGAGTTGTTTGCCAGGGAGGCATGGCTATCTATTTTGGCCAACGACTTGGTGTCGGATAATAATATGAATTTGCATATCGTAACAGACCGCGAATATGCTTGCGGTAGTTGATCATACAGGTATGATGCCGTTGCTAAGCTTGCTCCTCTAGGGAAAACGCCAATCATGGCTTATGCCATTCAACGCGGGCGACAAGTTGAACCACTTCAATTGTGCTACTGAAGCTCTAGACCGGTTAGCAAGGCTTATGGTCAGTACCTCTTATGGTTCCTAGCCGCAATACCACTAACCTGCTCTTGATTAGTCCGCGAAACCTCGTGACTTCACTCTCGCTCCTGAAAGTTTGTTATTCTACTAGACCCGGCAGGTTTGGGGCATATCTGGACGATGACCCCGAGGAACTTCTATGGTCCACGCTCGATTACGGCACCTTGGCGACTAGCTCACGTAGTATATCACACTCGCCTAGACTCGGAGTCCAGAGTGTTCCTTCTCCAACCTCATGGGCTTTGGTGCCGCCGTCCTTGCTGGTATTACTCCTGACAATAATGACACCGCTGAGATATTCGATGCGCCAACATCAGCCGTTTGACTCAGCGAGATCGAGTGACTTCTAACGTTTAGCAATCCTCCTGGAGACTTTATATGATGACTTTGTGACACCCTTTCTGCCGCTCCTAACTCTACCGCGTTCCAGCTCCCCGGTGCGGATCGCTCTTACACGTCGGACTGATCCATACCAGTGTCAAAATGGCCCTTGATTAGGAACCCTGTACTGCCGGCGTCCGACGCGGATGCAAGTACTACTACAGGGGTACAAGAATGGGGCCCAAGGATCATTCGTCGACGTGGAGGCAGTGACTGCCCGCACCGCGGCAGCATTTTTGGCGCATTCTATTGTCTTTCCACTTGGCATGTATGTCTAGTGCATCCCGCAGCTTCCTAACCTCTCCATCCCCAACCCCAAGTAATTCTTTCCAGACGTACTCATCCGCAACCTTGACCCATTACGACATCACTTGAAATACAAGATCCGCAAACCCCGGCTTCTGACCCTCAGGGAATGTCCCAGACCTCTCCTTGTTCCTTGCTTCAGACCCTCCGGCATAATCCACTGCCCATCTTCTTCATCTCTTCCACCAGCCTCTGTACTTCGTCGGGGTCGGTCGGCTTGCTTTGGAAGGTGGTTTCCGTGCCAGCGAGAATTGGAACTTGAGATCCTCTGTTATCGTTCTAGCGAGATAGCTCGGCAGTAGATGGTTCCGGGTTTTTAAGGGTATCTTATTCCCAGCAGTAGAGCTGTGATCGTCAGGCAATAATGGTGTGAGGACAGCTGCTTTGCGTTCAGGGCGTTTTGGTGATGAAGGCAGTCCTTCTTGGTGCCTCTTTTTGTGGCGTTTCAACACGTCACTAGCTAGGTGAGCAAGATGCTAATGAATGGTTGCAAATAACGGACCTTCGGGAGTAAATTCTGCCGCATATTGAACATTCAAAGAGGTCTCTCCTTTGTGTGGCTGCGGAGATGGCGTGTTAGGTGCTCTGGTCTTGAGAAGGCCTTCTGGCAGGTATGACAAGTTCGTGTTCGTCCAGACTTCATGTTGCAAACGTCCAACTTGCATTTACCTAGTGGTGCCCGTTAAAAGTAATAGTGCACCGATAAATCAAGTGTATTACTAGGTAGGGTTGCCGCTCCTCAGGTGTAGAGCCACCCCATGTTCTGCACGTAATACACACTGAAAGTCCCCAAGCCCGGATATCCACATGCCACAGCGAAATCCCGAAGGCTCCGATCACCAGATAGCTGACGTCCCCGCTATACCAGTACTAATTCCTTGTGTGTGAACGGACGGGTTGGGCGCCAGGAAAAGAAATGCACGGTGAGAAGGGGGACTCCTATGGCGTTGCCAATATTTGAGGCAGTGCAATAGCCTCCGGGGTGACGAGGGTCTCATTTGGTAAGGACTTGCAAGAGATTATGAATGGCCGACCCATTTTTTGCCCTTCCCTCGTGCGTCAGGAATGGTGTGGAGAACGCAGCAACTGAAAGAGAGCGTTAAAACCACATTTCTACCCATTTTATCGACTGCCAAATGTGCCATGGAAACTCAGCCAAAAGCCCGCCCCGTCTTACCGGAAAAGTCGCCCTGGTAATCAGCTCCCCGTCAGAAACCAGAGCTGCTATAGCAGCAGAGCTGTCGCACCAAGGGGCCGATGTTATTATCCATTGTTTATTTCCTTCCGAGGAGCCTCTTGCATGTCGATCCTTAGAATCACTTTTTGCAGAGTTGCGCGCCAGTCTCGTCGAGTCGGACCTTTCTACCCAGACGGAGCGAAAGGTCTAGTGGATGCCGCGTTCTCAAAATTTAAGAAAGTCGAAGCTACCAAGAAACTATTGGGGGAATGAGAGTTTTGGAACTGTTGGATTCAGGAACTATCCTAGGAGTTACATCGTCCTTATATAACTGAGGTTACAAACGCGGTGCGTTTGTCGCCAAATGAATACCGACCAGGATGCTGGTCGATATCTCGGATAGGCGCCGCCCCAAACGGGATACTGTTGACGCGGCTCTCCGCACCGCCTATTCGGTGTCTACACTCATCGCCATCAAGATCAACACCACATAGCAACGCGCACTGGATATATATTACCTCGACTTTGGGGACATGCTGAGAAACCCTGAACGTCTTGAAGTCCGCTACAGCTTGGTAGTTGCGCAACAGGGCTAGTCGCTTGAGCAAAGACAATCTTCGCTAAACTCGTTTGCTAGTTAGCCGTTTCTAGAGCAGGTCAGTTAACCTAGTGATGCCTCATGTACTGAGTGAGCTATACCTACCGTTTTCACATCTTGGGAAGCTAGGGCTGATGATGGTTAACTAACTCTCCAAGATAGGTATCAGAGGGTATGGCACGCCAGTGATGACATAGTTAGTGCTGATTCGCTGGATCATGGTCAAGAAAGTGGCGTCTGAACAGTCTTCTCGCAAATATATAGGTATGTCTTGGTAGCGTAACAAACTGGGCGGGTAGTTAGTAGAGCGCGGCTCATGTACAGATGGCCGAGTACTAGATAGCAGGCACCTGGTACGGTGCGAGAGAAACCAATTCTGGCGCGCTTGGGAAAGATGTAGATGAAGTAAACAAGAGTCAGTCCGACAAAGATGGTTGATGTGGTTGTAGTGTTCATGCGTGTACAAAGATCGCGGGAGCGTGGCAGATGAGGAGCAGGTATTTTGGCATCACTTGCAGCCAAAAGTGGCAGCGACATCTCTTTATGCATAGACAGCACGGAGCAGATGCTATTAATGGCAACTGTATATTCGTCCTATACTCGACTATGACTTGATGGTGAAGCAAGATTACTAAAATACCATTGGGCAATTGCTTACCATTTCTAAATATGCCCTATGGAACCGGTCATGATTATTTCTCCCTTTGTCAGCGTCATATGCAACCAGACAAGCTGCAAATGCCCAAGAGTCAAGCTCAGGTAGCATGACCAATTGATTGGCGAATGGACTAAGTGCCTGCGAAATGGATGATAAATGAATAGCAGCGCGGAGTAAGTCAGCGCTCCTTTCTCGCCTCGAGGAGTCGAGGGGTGGATGAGGCGGGGGTATATTTCCGAGGAAGCCGTTGATTCTCCGGTGCTCAAGTAAGGAATTGATAATGGAATTGTCAGGCCCTGGGAATCTCGAGGAACGATAAGTGATCACCAGAGAGTCTGAATGTCCCGGGCATCCAGGTCAAAGTCAATTGCTGGTAGCAGTCTAGAATGCAGGTATGACAAACCACATATGGACAGAGCGCACAACACGGTGATAGTCCGGTCGCAGAACAATCTCTGATGTTCAGATGACCCTGGGAAGGATTAATTAGGTACCTTAGCAGCAGCGGCTAATCGTGATTATCGAAGGATTGACCGGCTAATTGAACAATTTCCAGGAGCAAAGATCTGGCATCCTCAAGAAAGTTGCCCCACGGCAGCCCCTCCACGGACCTCAACACGCCGGTTACGCCATCAACAGCTTGAGCTTCCCAAAGCGTCATCCTCTGCCAAGGTCCTGTTTTCAGCGCCCATATTTATTTATTTGAGTACTCCCTGCCTCGATTCTGTCGTTCAGTTTCCTCATCTAAACTCAGGTAAGAACTCTACTTGCTGCCATCCCTCGCCTTCCGCTAGCCCCGCACTGACGTTTGTTCTTCTCTTCTAGCTTCATCCCTCTAGAAGGCCACATCTATCCTCACATCCACAATGCCTTCCTTTTCACAAGCCACTGAGCTCTCCACCTGGAAGGCGCTCCAAGAGCACCATGGCTCCGTGGGTCGCAACATCGTCCTCAAGGAGGCCTTCGAGAAGGACCCCCAGCGCTTCGAGAAGTTCAGCCGCTTTTTCGAGAACACTGTCGACAACTCTCAGATCCTCTTCGATTTCTCGAAGAACTTCCTGACCGAAGAGACCCTCGAGCTCCTTGTCAAGCTGGCCAAGGAAGCTGGTGTCGAGGAGCTCCGCGACCAAATGTTCGCTGGTGAACCCATCAACTTCACCGAGAACCGCGCCGTCTACCATGCCGCTCTTCGCAACATTAGCAACGAGCCCATGCAGGTCAACGGCAAGAGCGTCGTCGAGGGTGTCAACTCTGTTCTTGAGCACATGAAGGAGTTCTCCGAGCAGGTCCGAAGCGGCGAGTGGAAGGGTTACACCGGAAAGAAGATCAAGACCATCATCAACATCGGTATCGGTGGTTCTGACCTGTAAGTTCCTGTGTTATCATATCAGAAAGGTCGCGATAGTAATGCTTGTTTAGCGGCCCCGTCATGGTTACCGAAGCTCTGAAGCCGTACGGCCACCCCGATCTGACCCTGCACTTCGTGTCCAACATTGACGGCACTCACATCGCCGAGGCTCTCAAGCGCTCCGACCCCGAGACCACCCTCTTCCTGATTGCCTCCAAGACATTCACCACCGCAGAGACGATCACCAACGCTAACACCGCCAAGAAGTGGTTCCTAGAGACCGCAAAGGAGGACGCTCACATCACCAAGCACTTCGTTGCCCTCTCTACCAACGCAGAGGAGGTTGCCAAGTTCGGCATTGACACCAAAAACATGTTCGGCTTCGAGTCCTGGGTGGGCGGCCGTTACTCCGTCTGGAGCGCCATTGGTCTGTCCGTCGCTCTGTACATTGGCTACGACAACTTCCACCAGTTCCTTGCTGGTGCCCACGCCATGGACAAGCACTTCCGTGAAGCTCCGCTCGAACAGAACATCCCCGTCATTGGTGGTCTTCTGAGCGTCTGGTACAGCGATTTCTTCGGAGCCCAGACGCACCTCGTTGCTCCCTTCGACCAGTACCTGCACCGTTTCCCTGCCTACCTCCAACAGCTTTCCATGGAGAGCAACGGAAAGGCCATCACCCGCACCGGCGAATACGTCAAGTACACCACCGGACCCATCCTATTCGGTGAGCCCGCCACCAACGCCCAGCACAGTTTCTTCCAGCTGCTCCACCAGGGCACCAAGCTCATCCCCTCGGACTTTATCATGGCCGCCGAGTCGCACAACCCGGTCGAGGGTGGCAAGCACCAGCGCATGCTGGCTTCCAACTTCCTTGCCCAGTCTGAGGCTCTGATGGTTGGCAAGACTCCTGAACAGGTCAAGGCTGAGGGCACTCCCGAGCACTTGGTGCCTCACAAGACCTTCCTCGGCAACCGCCCAACAACCTCCATCCTGGCCCAGAAGATCACCCCGTCCACTCTCGGTGCCCTGATCACCTACTACGAGCATGTCACCTTCACCGAGGGTGCCATTTGGAACATCAACTCCTTCGACCAGTGGGGTGTTGAACTCGGCAAGGTTCTTGCTAAGACGATCCAGAAGGAGCTCGAGACTGCTGGCGAGGGTACTGGACACGACTCCTCCACCAGTGGTCTGCTCCTCGCCTTCAAGAAGAAGGCCAAGCTTGCGTAGACTTCTTTCTCTCCGCGAGCATGTTTAACGAATCTGAAAGGAAAAGTAAAATTGGAATATATGGATAATTGATGAGAATATGAGCGACCCTTTTCTTTCTTTTTCGTGGTTCTAGCATCCTGAATTGATCCTTCATGATTAACTTAATGGTGAACAAACAACTTGGTGATGTACGGAGCACTCCGCACGGTGTAAGAGGAGCCACAGAATTAGCGTTAGACAACCTGGGAAACTTGGAACCAAGCGCTGGGCGGCTCCTCGCCTTAGCTTCAGAGCAAGCGGAGGATCGCCGACACCGACCTTGTTGGTCAAGACCACCGTGTCTCCTCACTCCTCACTCTCCCTCTTTCCCAGCTTCATCCTTGTCCCTTAAGTCTTATTTACAATCTCACACCCATTCCGCCTGCTTGGCGGCGCGCAGTAAGCATCATGCCTGTCCAGGGAAGAAAATTGCTTTCCTGCGGCCTACTGGCCTCGTGCCTCTCCCAAATCTCCGTTGCGGGGAGAACCGATGGCTATACATACGGCCAGCTCATGCCGGTTACTTGCTTGAATCGGACAATGTAAGTGAAATCGGTTGTGGATTCGCCTACGGACGCATCCTATAACCTTCTCATTTTCACATCGCCAACCAATGCTAATTCGTTGTGCTCTAGTGACTCCGGCGAACATGTACGCGTGCCCCAGCCTCCCCAAACGCCACAAATTTTCAATCGCCCGCATAACCTCCCATCCTTCCCTCTTCTAACAGCATATAGATAACCGACGATCTCGGAAAACTCCAATTCATCCCCTTTCCAACATGCAAGGAGACCTCCGCCCCGCTAGCCCTCCGCTACGGCGTCTCCGAAACCGTAAGCTGCACCATCGACTCCCTCCCCGATGAACTCTACCACCTCCTCGAATACTACGTCCACTCGGACGTCCCCATGACCTGCCGCGTGCCAACGGCCCCTCTCACCCCATCCACCGAGTCCCCCTCGACCTCGAAATCAAAAGACCAGGAAGAAGAGGCTACAGAAAACGGCGACAGCGCCGCTAATACCCTCTCTGTTCTCGGAGATGACGGACCACCCTACACGCCGATTACATTTGCGCTTCAGGGGACACTGCAGAAGAGCCACCTGCACATCTGGACAGATATGAATGTCCTCGCGCACAATATCCCGCAGCTCACCGCGGCGGGGAGAGCGCGCAAGAATAAGCAGGGGTATGTCGTTGCGGGGACGGCGTATTCGGTTCCGGAGTTCGAGGTCGCCCTGTTAAAAGGGAGGGGCAAAGAGGGGAAATCGGACGAAGAGAAGGAGGCTTCCGCTGTCTCTGAGGGGGCAAGGGAGCCCTGGACGGCTGGGCATGGGACGAAGGTTATCCGTGGAGAGCCGTTGACGTTCACGTTCCATGTTAGTTGGATTGCGGGTGGGAGAGGAATTGGGTGGCCATCGAGGGGTGAGGAGTCATCTTCTGTGCTTGGTGGGTTGTTCTCGAAGTTGATGTTCTTTGGGTTCGCGGCGGCCGTTGGCGCCGTGCTTGCCGTTTATTGGGAGAGGAATAGTGCTGGGAGGCGTCGGGGATGGAAGGGAGATGGGATTCTAGGCGTGCCGGCGCTTGGGAAGGGTGCTGTAGGTGTTTCGTTTGGCAATGGAGCCAAGTCAAATGGGTATGGGGGGTATTCTGCCGGGAGTGCTGGAAATGGATATGGGGGCTTTGCGAGTGGGAAGAGGGATTGATGGAGTATCTTTTGATTTGAGATCAGGAGGACAAATATGTGAATAATAGACCGTTGGGTCATTTGATATAATTGCCACACAGCGGCTTCTAACGTACAATGCAAAAGAGACCTCGGACAAATAGAGCCTGATAGTATACACGCCAACTCAAATCTTCAACTCAACTTCCTTGCTTTTATACACATGCCCTCTGGATATCAGAACCAACAACAGGGGAAATCTACCACCCCTGCTTCCGCATTCTTTCAACCTTGGCCAGCGTATGCGTGAAGGAGTACTTGAACAATTTCCTCCACCTCCGCATTCTCAAATTCTTCTTCAACAATCCCTTCCTCACGTGGTGCTTCTGTGTAAAGGAGTCCCCCCTGACATTATTCTGCGAAAGCCGCGAATTCAATATCCTAATCGCATCAGGCAAACGGATCCTCCCAGGCTCAATGTGCACCGAACGACCCAGTGTCGGACCGAGCTGGAGATTGACCTTCAGGACCGGATTCACCAGATCCTTGGCCCCGGCGCTGGCGAAGGCGTCGGCGCCGGTGTCTCCCTTGCTCGGGTTGTTGGTAGCTGGGGTAGAAGGCGTGGGTTTGTTGAAATTGATTTCTTGCAGAATTCCTTCGATGGAGCTTTCGGTGTCGGTTCCCTCTTTGGGTGCCGATGTTGACTTTTTGGGAAAATTGAACGGGGAGGATTTTGATGGTGATTGTTCGGAGGGGGCGGCGGTTTCTGAAGAGGTCGAGGGTTCGGAAGGGGCACGGGTATCTGAAGGTGAGGACGAGGAGTTGGAGTTGAAGCGGAGGAATTGATTGCTGAGGAGGCCTGCTTGGAATTGGCGGGTGTAGAAGAGGGAGGATGTTGTTGTTGGCCTCAGACGGAGGCAGCGGGTTAGAGAGCGCATCTCCATTGTGTTGTGTGTAGTATTGCGAGCTCAGAGAGAGGGGTGTCAATTGACTCAAAAGGGTCCCTCTTGGTAGAAAATCGGAGGGTCGGAGCCGCAAGAAATGACCTCTCACGAGTCGCTGTGGAGGATGAAATGTCGCGGCTTCAATTTTCCAGATCGGAGAACCGGTGCTCACGTGATAATCCACTGCGACCATACCACCGCGTTACTTTGAGCGCCTCTTCTCATTCGAAGCACTTTTCATACAGCTCAAGACACTCATTCAAATCTATTCAAGATGTCCTCAATAACAATCGCCAACCTCCCGCGCATGAGCCGCGACGCTCTCTCCGCCCTCCTCCTCTCAACCTCCACCCCCAGCAAGCTCGCCATTATCGACGTGCGGGATTCAGGTACATCAGCCTCCTACAAAACTCCTTTCTATCTCGACTAAACACTTATTGACTTATCTACTTACCAGACCACATTGGCGGCCACATCTTCTCCTCAACCTGGGTCCCCAGCTCCTCACTCGATCACCGCATGCCCGAGCTCGTGCGAACCCTACAAGACAAGGAAAAGGTCGTTTTCCACTGCGCGCTCAGCCAGCAGCGCGGACCATCGGCGGCGCTGCGCTACGCCCGTGAGCGGGAGAGAATGCTGGGCAAGGACGAGAGCCATAAGCAGGAGGTTTTTGTTCTCGAGGGCGGGTTTGTGCAGTGGCAGGAGAAGTATGGAAAGGACCTGCGGCTGACCGAGGCGTATGTGGAGGATATTTGGCGGGAGTATTAGGTATGAATGTGTAGAATTTACGGTTAATGAGTACGATGATGATAGAATTGATACCCCGGTTATTTACTTGTTTTGTGGCAATCGGGAGTGGGAAAGTCTCCTGGAATGTGGCGCATCCAGTAGATGTATAGACTCTATGCTCTTGAACTGCTTATATACAGTATAGTACATTGAGTATGATTGATCGTGGTTCCGCTCTACATCTGCACTTCCCCTCCGAAGCCAACTGGTCGGCGTCGGCCGCCATTCTCTGGGACGATAGCCATGACCTTGTACAGCTTGCCCATGCCACCACCGCCCCGTTCAACCAGTCGCTGCCAACCGGTCTCAAGGACCTTCCGCTTTTCCTCGTCCTGCACGGTGGTAAGCAGTTGCCGCATGCGCTCGGCGATACCCATCGCCTGTAGGAAGTGGCCCTGCTCCACAGGCCCGTGGACCTCTACTCCTTCACTTGCTTCAATGGCCGCCTCAGCAAGTGACATAAAGTCGACATCTGCGCTAACATCGACCAGTCCAGGGGATGAGAGTGCCGGGACGATACGATGATTCTGAATACCACGGAGAGAGTTGACCGGAATTGTGGACATGGTCCCGTAGTCCATAATCAGGGCCGCTCCCGATGGATTGCGCTTCGCGACTACCGGGGCTGCAGGGGCTTTGCCCTTCGTCACTGTTCTCGGAGGCTGCGACGAGCCACCAATACGCCGCGCAAAGTCCGACGAGTAAATGCGACTTTCGGGACTAATTTCGATAGTGGAGCCTGGCTGGGACTTGAGCGTCCTGTATCGTTCAGAGATTTCGGGAATGACGAGAGAAGATGGCGTTGATGCTTTTGCTAGAGTTAGGGCGAATTCTGGTTCGTCTTTCAGGTTCTCTTCGACCGCTCTCGGATTGAGGGTCACCATGATCTCGCGCCATTGAGGTTGATTCGCAGATTTCAATGGCTTGTGGAGCTTGGTTGGACCTGTGGGAGTCATGATTTCCTGCTCTTGAGGCTGGTTCTCGGGTGCTGGAGGGATGGACTCAAAGGCGTGGATCGGTAGAGCGTCAAAGAACTCGTGGGCAAATATGAATGGTGTTTTATCTTCTTCTGTGGTCACAGTCAATCATCGAGAGCGTTGAAGAGGAGCTAGTGTACTCACCATGCGGCAACAACCTAATGTCTTCAACCCAGATAACAGGCACATCGAAGTACTTGCTCGTGCTTCTGTGGCCGATTTCTGTTTCCTCCATAGCTGCATCACCACATAGTAGCTTCTTCTGAACTTCCCTCAATGTCGGACTAGCTTCCACGAGATAGATTGCCTCTAGACTTGAGGTGAATGGTTTGAAGTGCCGAAATGTCTATCCGAGCCATTGTCAGATCCGCTCAACGTCGCGAGAAACCCGTCAACTTACACGTAGCATATCATCCATAAGCGTTCCCTTCCCCGGTCCAACCTCCATTAACTGCACTCCACTCTTCTTCCCTCCCTGTGCCATCCATTCCGTAATCGTCCATATCCCAATTAATTCTCCGAAGACCTGAGATATCTCCGGAGATGTGACGAAATCGCCCTTCTTCCCAAAGACTTCCCCTCCGCTCTCTGGTTTGGTAGTATAGTATCCTCCTTCTGGTGATGTTAGCACCTGGCGCATAAACGCTGCAATCGGCACAGGTCCGGTCGTCTTGATCGCGTTGGCTAGAGTCCGCGCTAGGGGCGTCGACCACTCGCTAGTCTCGAATGTCGATGTACATCGTCGCGATTGGATATTTGTAGTAGTTCGGCGCGTGGTTCTTCTCAGCAGTCGGCTGAGGGTGCGCTGTGCTGCATAGTTCATTGTCGATATGAGGATGAATTGCGCGCGACGGCGCTTTCGATTGTCCTCTGGGCCCTACTGGCTGACGAATGGATCAAAGATCGCTTCACAATATTACTAGATTATCCTCCTTGAGATGGAATGGAGCAATAATATGTGATTCTGACAAGTTCTGAGATAAATATTGTCCTCCGAAACTCTCCAAAAACCTCACACGTGATGCATCCTTATCGATAACAAAATATTGGAGCAGCTCGGAAATGACATCAAATTCTTTCGAAGTATTGAGCGCAGCAGTGCTTCGAATGATGTTAATTATCCCTGGTTTGTTGTCGCTGGTATAAAGCAAGACCTTGAGAAACTGCAAATGGGGTGTATAATTTTTTTTAATTCAAAAACACGCCAAGCAAACCCTGAAAGCGCCGACTATATGGCAGGCAAATACTCGTACATCATGATATAGCTGTTTAAATCTCTGTAAAATCGTATCCGACGCCGGCTAACCAACAGTGATTTTATGTAGGCGGAGAAACGAGAGCATGCCCCCTCCTTTGAACCGATTGAGGCTGACCGGCCTCTAGTCCCTTCGGCATGGAAGACCAGATCATAGGTCGTTGTGAACCGGAAACATTTCGCTTATTGACGCCGATTTCCTCTGCCCCTTGGGTGTGTTGGAGGAGCATCCACCATCATCTCGTCGCTGTAGAGTCCTGTTTCCTGTGAAGCTTGATTTGACTTCCGATCACCCGCACCAAAGTTCCTTCTGCCCCGAGAGCCTCTTTGGTTGCGGCCACGACCGCTGTTTCTGGAGTTATAAGATTGGTTGCTCTGCTCGTCGAATCCAAAGCTGCCGTCTTGAACGGCCAGGTCTGCTATCCGTTGCGACCGTCGCTCGCGATCCGTCTGTTCTCGTTGCTGGTTAAAAGAGGTCGAAGGGCGGTCGAGAACGTCGCGGTTCGTCGAGGATTTGAGCTGTATTGAAAGAAGCCTTCCGTCTGCCTAAAAGAACATCAGCTATTTAGCTTTAGCTAGCGGCGCTATTTTCAGACACCGTACCCTCTGGTTATGAAAATTAGCCACAGCTTTCTCAGCTGACGACTTTTCTTGGAAGGTGATCTCCGCCGTCACCGTAGGTTGGTGAGACGTAACCCAGCAACTGACAATCTTTCCCGAGACGGGCTCAATGGCGGATTGAATGTCCGCTGCCGTGGTTCCGGGGGCGAAGTTCTTTCCGACCACAACGAACGATTCTGACCCCGTCCCCTTGATGCTAATTCCTCCAGTTGTATTGCGCACCGTAGCCTGGCCGTTTGCGGGGTTAAGAGCTGACATGAGGCGAGCCTCGTCAGGGCGACGTCGGCGTGCTGGTTTCGAAGGTGGTGGTGCTGTGTTTGGTCCGGCCGCGGAGGAGCCTCTACTGTTGTTCTTGGATCCGAGATTGGCAGATGAGGAGCGCTGTGAGAGGAACGAATGAGCAACTTCTTGCCAAAGGGAACCATGTAAGGAGCAAGCTCATGCGCTGTGTTGTTACCTTTGTCACACCGACCCTGCTCGCAAGACTTCCTGGCGTAGCATTCTGTGGTTTCCCAACCCCCGAACCAGGCGCGCTCGCCCTCCTATTCTTGCCAAGTATTTTGTTTGCGAGCTCTTCATTCTTTTTCTTCTGGCGACCTAAGCGGAAGAAAAAGGGTGTAAGCCAGACGTTCGCTCGCTGGAGGGCTGAAGGTACAGGACGCCGCGTTTCTTACTTGTTTGGATGATTTCGTTGAACGAGACAGCTTGCTGGGCTGCAGCCATGGCGAAGGGGGTAATCGAGACAAGGGAGGTTCTTTTGACAGAAGAATAGGAGTTGGAAAAGTAATCGCAACCGAAAAATTTGACTCGAGTCAGATGCGTTCGAAAGTGGTGAGGCTCAGTAGCTGCGCCGGAGAGTTGAGAAAGGGAAAGCTGAAAAGGCGGCTGCTTCCGTTCAAGCTCCCACGCCGCATGCCCCCATGCAGCTTGCACAACACAAGATGTCGGCGACGCAATGCTTCCAGCCTTCACGGCCCTGTAAAAACCCAGCTCACTGGAGAAAATGGAGCGCGTTTCTCTCGTGTTCTTCTGCGAATTGTTGCGCAGCTGTGGTTCGTCAAAAGTTGCGCTCCAAGTTTTAGATGCCCTATGCCCTCTGATGGAAGCTGCAATCAAGTCCCTTGCAGTGCTGCAATTGCCTCTTTCCTCTGTCCAACGCTGCAAATGAATTTAACCAGGCGGAAAGTGCTTCTCCGTTTTCCTAGAAATCCGGAGTGATTCCATTTCGGTCGCCTTCCCTCTGCATGTCAACCCATCGATTGCATGACTCTCTCTACTGGCATTGTACATCAAAACCAGAGAATTGAGGCCTGCTTTCAGGTATATTAGTCTACTCCAGTACACGCTCACTCTGAAGAAGCAATGATTCCGTCCGACGAGGATTCCGGTGACATTGCACCTCAATCAGTTCAGGCAACTTTCCCTGTCTCGATACGCTCGTCAAGACGAAGAAGAAGCCGGTGAGACGCCTACCTTGTGACAGTACTATGAGCTGCTAACGGCATAATTTCAGTCTCTCGAGGCCCCCAACTCCGCCATCAGCATGTGAGGAAAGCGCTCATTATCCAGTTTTCAACCCAGAAGACCCTCGACACAATCCAGCTCTCAGAGCCAATGAGTGGCCGGACGATGCGAATGGTCTCTCCCAAGCAGCTCATCCTACCGGGTCAAGGCATTGGATGCAAAGTCTAACAGGAAGGTCTCTACGGCGGGCCCGCACTGGACTACAAGCCCTAAGGTCTGGCTTGCATAGACGCTCCGTCCACCAAACAAGCGATGGCGAGGTTGTGATCAATGGAGTGTGGCATTCGTCCGATTCTGCAGAAGCATCCTCTGACCGACATGAGCGTCGTTTCTCGTCGACTGTATCTGAGGCTAGCACAGAAGAAGACTATGATTTCGGAACCCACCTCTACCGAACTGGCTGCAACTACCCCAGCCTAAGCGACGACATCGATGATATGCATCCATCTCCTCCCACGTCATTACCCACATTGAGCACGGAGGCTGGCAGGCCTCTCGCTAATGGATTGTCCCCGACGCCGGAAGATTCTCCGGGAGAAGATTCATCTCCTGTGACGCCAGACTCGGACAACCCTCCCCGTGTTGATGCGCATTTTGATGTGCAAGAGGAACAAACAGCCGTGAACCTTCCCACAACTTCTACTTCCACGCCTCCCGATGAAGGATCCGGGTCTCCCGTGGAAAGTTTGTCCAGCATAGGCTCGTTGATATCTGGTATCTCTGATGCGGCAATTCCTCTAGACGAAGCAATGGCGGATCCGCCAGCCGGTGGCATTCCGCAAACCTTGGAGCCCGGTGTGCCAGTCGAGAAGACTAATGTGACTTCCATTTCTTGCGTCGCTTCCCCCACTGCCTCGGAGAACCCTCACACTACTCAGACGCCAGATGACGAGAGTGCTATTGAGGAAGAAGCGATAGAACTTCCTGCTAAGGATACATCTGTACCGGAGAGCCCGCATACAGATAACATCGCGGATGACACAGGGTCGATTCATGAAGAGGAAACAGTACTGGAATGTGTAAGGGACCCAACAGACTCAAAGTGTCCCCCGCTGATAAAGACTAGCAGTTGAACAATGTAGCTGTCCCTGAAGCCGCTCTTGGGGACATTGGAGACCTGAATTATTTCCTTACGCTGAATAGACTTGATGATAGCGATCTCTCCGGGAGCAAGAGCAGTGACGAAGACCCAAGCCCTAATAGTCTCAGTGACGACGACGCAAATGGACCAATCAATCCTTGGATACCACTGGATAAGGGCGACCGTACGTCTTTGCCATCATTGAGAGATGAGTATTTCCTTGTTGACGGCAAATCGACTGATCTCCGACCCGACAGGGGCGACAACCCGATAAAAGGAGAGCGAGCATTTTCAGGCGATGGAGGATTGCACAGTGGCCCTGGTCTTGATCGCGCCCTTTCGTTACGGACACAAGAAATTCCCGAAATCATTGGCCCTGGAGGGCCGATGGGGCTTCCAAGCCCACTACCACTTCGAGGGGACCGAGAGGGAAGCGACTCGACAGAAGAGTACCTCGTCACATACTCTTTGTTGCACCGGCATTACTTTTCTTGACGTATTTTCGTTCGTTGGTTACGAATCTAACTTTCCGCGATCGTTTCTCCATTCGACCAATATTTGTTGCGGTGAGAACACGCCGCTATGGGGCATATTACTACGGCATCAAGGCTTCTGAATGGCTATGGACCGGAGGCATATTGGCAAGCGTGGCTTAAACAGCCATTGATATGGATCTTTCCGTTGGCGATATGTGTACTCTGTAGGACAACCTTTGAGCCGAAACTTGAATATCAAGGACTAGTTTAATTGAGGGTCAAGCTATCCTCTAGATTCTCGTAGTCTCTTACACCCGGGATGAAGATTAAATGAAATAGAAAGAAGCTCCAAACCGCCTAGCCGAAGCGCAAGGCAAAACCGGCTCCTGTCTCCCCGGCATCCCCACCAGGTTGCCCACCAAATACACTAGCAAAGTCCAGCTTCGGCGCCTCCTGCCCCCTCTTTGGCGCCTCTGGCGTTTCCCGCCTTCTCCTCTTCTCCATACCCGCCTTGGACGGGAAAGTAGGAAACATCTCCTTCGGCTTCGGCCGCGGCTCCTCACGGAAGTACGGATGCGTGAGACACTCGGCGGCCGTTGGTCGCGAAGCTGGATTCAGCGCGAGCAAAGAAGAGATGAGTTGGAGACCGGCGTTGGAGAGGATGGAGAACTTCGAGCGGGGAAGTAGAGGCGGTGTTGTTCCCCTTGGCGGGGCGGAATGTGTAGGTGGGAGGCGGAGTGACTTGGCGTTTGGGAGGGAGCGGAATCCTGGCCAGATTTGGGGTGTTGGGGGCCCGGTTAGGGCGAAGATCTGAGTGGGGACTTGGTTAGAGCCAGGACACGATCAAAATGGATGAAAGGTGTGTATGTACCTTGGATACTTGATCAACTTCATTCTTGCCCTGTAGCAACGGCTCCTTTGTAAGGAGCTCTCCAAAGATACAGCCCAGACTCCACATATCTATCTCCGGGCCGTAGGTTTCAGCTCCGAGGAGCAGTTCGGGGGACCGATACCAGAGCGTCACGACGAGTTGTGTGAGCTTTGGCGGCGGATCGCCGTAGTAGCGCGCCATTCCAAAGTCGGCGATTTTTAGTTCGCCGCGGTTGTTCATGAGGAGATTGGAGGTCTTCAGGTCGCGGTGCATAATCCATTGAGAGTGGAGGAAGTCGAGGCCGGAGATGAATTGGAGGAGGAGCGTTTTGATTTCGGAGGGGAGGAAGGGCTCACGCATGTCGTCGAGGAGGGTCTTGAGATCGTGTTCGAGGAAATCCATGACGAGGTAGACTCTGTAGAATGGGGTGAGGGGGGCGCGGGGATCGAACCCCCCATCGGGTGGACGGTTAATCCCGTGTATCTGGTACTTTTCAGGGCAGAAAGGGGTGCGCAGAGTGGAGATGAGGAGGGAAAGGATTCAGTGCAAAGGTATATTGGAGGGTGTTGGGGGGCTCACTCGTCCATTCTGTTGCCCATCACTACTTCACGGAGATAGACGACGTTCTGATGCCGAGCTTCAAGCAGCGTCTGGATCTCCCGCAGACCTGTGACGGGGAATCCATCAGGGGAGTTGTCCATCTTGAGCTTCTTCAATGCGACCACTTCTCCGGTTGCAATCTCCTTCGCCCGACTGACCCAACCGTACGAGCCCTCCTCGATGTGGTTTAATCGCTCGAAGTTGTCCACATGGCGACACGGTCCCCATTCGAACACGGGGAACTGTAGCAAGCTTGACTTGCCCTGATTCGGTTGCAAGTTCACGTCGGACTCCGGCTGTTGCTGGTGCTGCTCATTTGAAAGTCGCCGGCGTTTCGTCGGAGGTGCATCAGCGTCGCCATTGGGGCCGGCATTGGCGGATTGACTCCGCGCTGCCTGTAGTTTGGCCAGCTCTTCCTGTTGTCGCTGCTTCTCAGCTTTGGCTCGTCGTTTCTCATCCTTTTCTCGTTTGCGTTGAGCGGCAATAGCTTCTGCCTCGGAATCGTCGTCGGCCCATCTAGATTTGGAGCTGGACATTGCAGCAGATTGCCGTCTGTGAGGGTGGACTGCGTGAGGTCGAGAAACGGTCGGAGACTCGGAGTGGAAAAATGGAGCCCATGACGCTATCGGACTGGGGAAACCGACGGTGCCTGAAGCGTCAGGCAATCTGCCTGTGATTTCAAATCACCCCGCTTGTCCTGCCATTACTTTCTTCGCCCTTGAACAACAAACATTCTGTTTCTCTACTATAGATTGTCCTTGCTATTGCTAAAGCCGAGCCACCATGATTGAACCATTTCAGGTATGAAATCACTCGACGAATCGCGCTCAAACAAGGAGACTGACGCAGGTAGACGACCTTTGCGGTTCCGATGAGCTGTGAGAGCTGTGTCAAGGACATCTCTCAGGCATTGAACCAGCTACAAGGTATGAGTCAGACATACACCTATCGAATCTAGCTGAAACATCTGGATCTTCCTTCTAGGCGTCAACAAGGTCGAAGCGAATCTCAAGGATCAACTCGTCTTTATTGAAGGCACCGCGCCACCCAGCTCTATCGTCACAGCTATCCAGGGCACCGGTCGAGATGCAATTCTACGAGGCAGCGGTACCTCAAACAGTATGTCGTTTCCGATCTACATGGCTGCGCCTCGCTTTGTTTCATTACTTCGACATAAGCTAAGTTTTGGTGGATGATAGGTTCCGCAGTCTGTATCCTCGAAACACACTCAACGACAGTCTCCAATAAGGTCCGAGGGTTGGCGCGCATGGTTCAAGTATCGCCTCATATGACGCTGGTCGATTTGACCATCAACGGATTGGCGCCGGGCAAGTATTGGGCCACAGTACGAGAGGCAGGAGACATCTCCAGAGGGGCGGAGTCTACCGGCGGCATTTGGGAGGCGGTGAAGTCGAAGCTTCTTGGGGCTGACGCACACAAGGAGCCGCGTGGAATCTTCGGCAGCGTGGAGGTGGATGCGAAGGGGCGAGGCAATGTGTTTTTGGACCGCCCGGTGGCGGTTTGGGAGTTGATTGGGCGCAGTATGGTGTTGTCGAGCGGTACGGAAGGCCCGTTTCGGCGCGAAGATTCCAATACCTTGGTAGGAGTGATAGCTCGAAGCGCCGGGGTGTGGGATAACGACAAGACGGTGTGCTCCTGTTCGGGCAAGAGTGTATGGCAGGAGCGGCAAGAGCAAGTGGCTCAGGGAATGGTTTGATACCAGCGGTTCGCCGGCCTCAAGATGGTGAATAAAGGGGCCCTAACCTTGCATGAGTATTGAGATCTTGATGATACCTAGATGTGATGATGTCAATGTGTACAATGAACTGATAGACCAAGAGTCTGTTTCCCACGGAGCATCCTAAACCGAGTCATGCGATGCTCTTAATTATCTGAAGATTTGATCACTGCAAGACTTGACGGTGACGGTTCGAAAGATATCTCTCGGCTGGTTCACATGATCGGAGCCAATATGCAGGAAAGCTGCACACAATCACTACGGTGAGATACTCCGTACGAAGAAGAGACCAAAATTCCCCTCATTGATTTTTTTTTTTCGCAGAGCTCCCGATCCGAGGCTAGGATTGTTGCATGCATCAATCAGAGGGCAGAACAGGGCTGCGGCGTGAAGCAAAGGCGCTACGAGGCCTATCACGGCGGAAACCAGCCTCAGGGAGATCGCGCAGAAGCGCCGTGGCGGGGGCCGCTAGAAACTTAGTTTCTGTCACATAATTCACATCTCTGTCGAATCGCATCGGGGCCCGTTTGCTGAAAGAACTCGAACATCATGTGGCCTGAAGAATGTCGAGAATACAATCAGCTTGTGGGTGAGGGTGCGGAACTGGCTCGGGTCGGGCCTTGACCGGATTTCAGTATATGTTTGTTCGCTATAAACATGGGCAGGGATGTACACTGTAATATCGACTATATTGAAAAAGCAGAAGATTGATTACCGCATTGAAAGGCCAAGGATCAACGTGCTGCACTGTGATGAATTCCCCCTGCATCGGCCATTCGCCCATCACCAATGATTATTGCATCTGCAGAGTCTCGACTTGCTGGGCGGTTATTCATTCAGACCGACCACTCCCCTCTCGCCGCTGGTGCTCCTCTCTTTTCTCCCTCTTCTCCAGCCCCTCTCGATCCATCGAGTCCATTCAATTCTTCTCGCTAGCCGCTGCATCCCTGCTGCACCCTTTTCTGACTTCTCCTTTCTCAACATTTCCACCCTCTCGGTTTCAGGTACCAACGGCCTGGACAGCGTCGAATTCATCGCGCAAGGCACAATAAAAGGAATTCTCCGGTCCTTTCTCTCTTCTTGCTGCTGGGAGAACTCGTTTTTAAAGTTCCCTTCTCGTCTGAACTTGCCAATCGCTGTCAAGTGGCTGGTGCGTCTTAATTTATGATCTAAATATATACCCGATCTATCGCTTCTCTCCACCCAACAGGATCACTAAAACCATCCTTCGGCTCTCGCGCATGGTCCGTCACCAACTTGCTTGCTTGCTTAATCTGTCCTTGATTGACTGATTCCACGCCGAGTAGTGGGCTCACGCCTCACGGCCTGATATTCTTGCCTTCCTCCCCGTGCCATTCATCCAAACTCTCTTGGCCCGCTTGACGCTCGCCATCTGCCCACCCGATCCCCTCCCCGTCACATCCTTGGCTGTTGGTTGGCGCATACATATAGCTGCTGTGTGCGGTCCGGGAAAATCGCCAGCGTTTCCCCTGCCAGTTGGCAAATAAATTTCCATCCAGCCGGTGTCAGCCAGGTATTCACGACGCGGGGGACAAACAAGTCGTCGCTTACCCAGTCCCTATACATAAGACTGCCACTGGCACTGGCAACGCATTGAGATGTCCCTCAAGCAAGTATGTCGACACTACTGCTACCCTATCTAAGTCACCCAGGCGTTAACAAAAAGTTGCAGGAAATCGAGACTTGGGTGCAGGCCCTGGAGCATTTCGATAACCAGGAATACGAATTGGCCCTGCGAGCCTTTTCCGGCATTGCCGACACCTCGAGGATTCTTTTCAATTGCGGGGTCATATACGCCACGCTAGGTGAACATGAGAAAGCAGTATGTTATCCCCTTCGCTATCGATGAGATGAAACTAACGACTACAGGTCGAGTGCTACCAAAGCGCTGTGGGATTGGACCAGTATCTTGCTATCGCCTACTTCCAAGAAGGCGTGTCGAACTTTCTTCTAGGAGACTTTGAGGAGGCATTGGCGAATTTCAACGACACCCTGCTATATCTTCGAGGCAACACCTACATCGACTACGAGCAACTAGGCTTGAAGTTCCGCCTGTACTCTTGCGAGGTCTTGTTCAATCGTGGACTATGCTACATCTATCTCCAGCAAATTGGCCCCGGCATGAAGGACCTTGAGTATGCCTCGAAAGAGAAAGTCACGCCTGATCATGATGTGATAAATGACGCTATTAAGGAGAGAGCAGAAGTGAGTACACACCCAGAGTTCCCCTGAGCCACGCTAACATATATAGGGCTACACTGTCTTCTCCATCCCGGTAGGAGTCGTCTACCGCCCCAACGAGGCAAAGGTAAAGAATCTCAAGGCCAAGGATTACCTCGGCAAGTCTCGTGTGGTAGCTGCAAATCGTCTTAGTACACCCGGGGAATCAGCCGCGAGAGGTCCAGGCGATGTGCCGTTTGCCACGTCACACCTAGTCCAGAAGAACCTGACGAGCCGCAGCCGCCAGCAGTCCGAACCACCTATGAATCGAAACTTGTTCCCTCCCACCCCCCCACCTGATACCGATAAAGCAAGCCTCAGCTCATCTGGCAGTGCTGGCGGAGCAACAGCCGTTCGCCCTGTACCCAACAAAGCCCTACGACCACCGAAACTAGACTTAGATCGCCCTGGAGCCCAGCCCCATCAGATCAACGGACACACTACGGCCGCACAGGAGAAGTCCCGGATAGGCACGACACGAACGGCTTCAGAGCCGCGCGGCCCATCAGCCCGACAGCCCCGTGCATTTGCGCCAGAGCGACAAGCGTTCCCCCGGGAGAGCTATGGCCACCGCAGAGGAGGAAGCGACGGTCTGGGACTGGCACCCAATGGTTACCCAGAAAATGCGTATGGGGCGTACGGAGTATATGGAGCGTATGGAGAAGCAAGAGCGATGGCTCTCGCAAATGGAGGGCGCCCTTTCCACCAAGAAGGGTACATTGATGAGGAGGAAGAGTACGGTAGCTCGCCATGTGACGGGGAACTAGCGCCAGATGCAGGGTTCGAGATCATGGGTGCAAGGCACCGGACACGATCACACAGCCGCGGTCCAGGCCGCGGTTACTCTCGTCGGCCGGAGGTGCGCAAATTCCGCGTCAAGGTTCATTCTTCCGAGGACACACGATATATCATCATTGGGCCGACAATCGAGTTTCCAGAATTTGAGGCGCGGATTCGGGAGAAGTTTGGGTTCCAGATGCAGCTGAAGATCAAGATGCAAGATGAGGGTGATATGATTACGATGGTGGACCAAGAAGACTTAGACCTGTTACTCATGGCGTCACGGGAAATTGCACGACGAGAAGGAAGTGAAATGGGAAAGATGGAGGTATGTGTCTCACGCTGCATGTTTCTGAGCTGTTGACTAACTGGATGGCAGATTTGGGTCGAAGAACGTCGGATGATTTGATGATAGCGTGTTATACCCTGCATGTGTTTGTTATATTAGCATTTATACCCCATAATGATACCACTTTTAGTTAGTTCTTATTCGAGCTGCGAGTCATAGTATGCTCCTCGTACTTGGTAAGAATATACGTTTCATACTCGTAGGGGACTGGTCTTCCATTCCTTCTGCGGAATAAAAGTCCGAGTCTCTGGGGCCTGGAGGGATTTACGACCCGATGGGGTAGTACATGATACAGTCCCATCGATAATTATCCGAGCAGCGTGGCATGAGAACCTGGGGTACATATTGGGAGCCGTGTATGTAGGGCATGGTGCAGATCACGGGATCGGCGCCAACCTTCCAGCTCAGCATTTACTCCGACTCTCCACCCCATCGACGTCAACGTCAATGCCAACCGAATTCCTCCCCAAAGCATGATTCGATAGCAAACACAATGACCGACCTGACGCCCACATTTACCGATCTTCTACACAGGGAAAACAAATCCCTTTCCTTAGCCACCCGCCCGCTCACCACCGAAACGGCCGATGAATTCCTCAAAGAAGCGTACCGCATCGTTCGTCTTCCCCGTACTCCTCAAACAAACAATCTACACGCACAATTGAACTGACAAATCGTCTCACCTCTCTATAGAATACACACATAACCTCGCTCCTATCATACCTACACAAAATCCGCCCGTCATACCTAAGCATCTCGGCCCACTCCAGCACCACAAGCAACATCAGAAACAAACCACACCATCGCACAACCCCTTCCACCTCAAGCGCCCGCGAAAAAGAAACCCTCTCCTCAACCGAACTCGACAACATCACAACATCCACCTCCTCTCTCCTGCACACGCTCTCCTCCTCAATCTCCAACCTCTCCAGCGCCGAGTCCCTCCGCCAGGAAACTTACTCCACGCTCCTCGACAAGAAGTACGGCCGGAAGCGCTCGCGCGCCTCGAATCTGCTCTTCCAATGGGCGTCGGGATCCTCGCCGCTCTCTGAGGGGCAAGGCGACGGAGCTGCAGCGGGCGGGAAGAAAGAGGCGCAGATTGTCGATGAGCAGCGTGAGGAGTTGCTTAAGGGGGTGCGGGAGAGTATATTGTGGTTCTTGAGGAGGCAGCTGGAGAATACGATTGAGACGCAGCGGGAGATGGTTGAGAAGAGGATTGAGAGGGCGAGGGAGAGAGAGAAGAGTGTCTTGTACAAGGCTTCTACGTCGGACACTGCTGGTGCTGGAGCTGGGGCCCGGGGTCAAACGGGAAGTACCTCAATCTCTGCGCCTTCGGCGTACCCTGATGCGGGCTTCGAGGGCGAACCCATGCCAGTGGGGAAGGGTGCGGTTCTTGATGAGGCTGAAGTCGCGGCTATCGAGGCTGAGCTTTCGCCCGAACAGCTCCAGCTATTTGCGGAGGAGAACGATTCGATGGTGCGGTACTATGAGGATACCCTCAGCAAAGTCCAGTACGTTTTCGCACAGCCTCTTCCTCAAGCTAACAGAATCCTAACCATAATCGTCCTGCGATAGAAACGCCGAAAAATCCCTCCTCGAAATCTCCTCCCTCCAACAAACCCTCGTCACCCACCTCTCCACGCAAGAAGAATACATCGGCCAACTCGTCTCCGACGCCTCAAATACAGAGACGAATATCGGACGCGGAAACAAGGAGCTCAAGCGCGCGACGGAAAGACGCAGTGCGGCGCAGGCTGTGTTCTGGGGGACGGTGGGACTGTGTACGTGGTTGGTTGTCTGGGATTTGATTTTTTAGAATGGCACAATCCGAGAGATGAATTTACATCATTACGACGTATATAGGTAGAAGAGAAGACAATATCTTGTCTCTATGGAGAGAGGAAAATCTATCATATTAGATTCGAGATTCGAGTTTTATCCCTGCAAAGTTCCTTTTATCTTTCGACCGATTAAGACCTGTTTATGAACCGAGCATGAACCGAGCATGAACCGACCGACAGACCGACCGACCGCTTAACCTGAGTAGTATGTAATGTAAAGTGTGTGATATAACGGGGTAGTAGTAGAGGGGAATAATTAAACCGAAAGCCGAGAAGATCCAGTTGAGTGGAATGAGATGCAAAGAGAATCAACCGAGGTAAAAAAAAAAAATGAAACAGGGATTATGACGTCTCCCGCACGACGCTATCTACAGCCTCGGCGAAATAGTCGAGGTTGTGCGTGTTCAGGCCGGCCATGGAAATACGACCGTTCTTGGTCTAGGGTGTTGTTAGTATATCCACGAGCCGAATAGTAAGATTTAGAGAAACAGGGGATGGACGGGAAACTGAGGAAGGAGGATCATACCATATAAACATGCCACTTCTCTCTCAAGACCTTCACCTGGGCTTCGGTCAACCCAGTAAAGCTGAACATGCCAATCTGATCGGTAATGTGCACCCAAGAACCGGGCGTGCCCTTGGCCTCTAACCTCTCACGTAACCCCTTGCGCATCTCCGCAATGCGCCCACTCATCGTCCGCAGATCCTCTTCCCACTGCGCAAAGAGCTCCGGATCGTTCAGCACGCGGCTCGCAATGCGCGCGCCGTAGGCGGGCGGGTTTGAGATTTCAGAGCGCTGCAGGATGGCAAGCTGGCTGGCGACGTGGGCGGCGGACTGCGAAGCCTCGGGGCCGGGGGCCGAGACGAAATGGAAGGCGCCCGTGCGCTCACCGTACAGGCCAAAGTTCTTCGCAAAGGATTGCGCGATGCACAGCTCAAAGCCCTGCTCGATGAAGTAGCGGATTGCCCAGGCGTCGCGGGAGAGGTCGCCGGACGCGAAGCCCTGGTAGGCGCAATCGAAGAAAGGGAAGTGGGCACGCTCGGCCATGACGACAGCGACTTCCTTCCATTGCTCTTGCGTGAGGTCTACGCCTGTGGGGTTGTGGGCGCAGGCGTGGAGGAGGATGATGGAGCCCTTGGGGGCGGAGCGGAGGGTGGAGAGGAGGCCATTGAAGTCTAGGCCTTTTGTCTTGGGGTCGAAGTAAGGGTAGTTTGCAAGGGAGAAGCCGACATTTGTGAAAATTTGGTGGTGGTTGGCCCAGGTAGGGTTGGAGAGGTAGAGGGTTGGGCGGGTTGGGTGGAATTTGGACAGGAAGAGGGCACCGAGGTGGACGGCGCCTGTGCCGGAGATGGTTTGGAACGTTGACACGCGGTTCTCGGCGATGGCCGGGGATTGCGCGCCTATGATGAGCTTCTGTGCGGCTGTGGTGTATTCGGCGAGGCCCTTGATGGGGAGGTATTCGTGGTTGAGGTTGGGGTCGTTGCGAATGAGGTCATCGGCCTGTGTTGCATGGGGGTTAGTTTTCTTGTTACTAAATCTGAGCGCACGAGCCCGGGATATCGGGGACGGAAAATGAATTTCGAAGCTCGTGACCGGTAAACAGGAATCCAGGACAAACCTTCTTGACGACGGGGAGCACCCACGGCTTCGCATTGTCATCGCGATAAGCACCGATGACCAGATCCACCTTCTTGTCGGAGGGATCCTGGCGATAAGCTTGGGCGAGTCCAAAGAGGGGATCCTCGGGGGCAGAGGGCACGACAGAGGTGGAAAAGACGGAGGCACCTGCGGAACCCATGATGTGCGATGTGAGAGAGGCGAGACGGGATTTGGCGATGGAGGTAAGGGAGGAGGATGGAGGGGAGGGAGAAGAAGAAGAGGATGAGGACATGATGAAGTTTTAAACAGACACACGACGAGTCACACCACCGCAGAATTATTCTGATTGCTGCTTGCGTTCACCGGTCAATTCGGGTCTCCAATAATGACAAACTGAAACTGCAAGACGTGAGGGGAATCCAAAAGCCGTCAGCCCAGAATCCAGGGCTCCTGCACAGCTTTGCTTTAAATACAATAAAATGCCTCAATGGGAGCTCTGAAGCTCATGAAGAGCCCCGAGGCAACCGAGGTGTGCAAGTCCCGATGGCAACGGATGACGACATCACATGTTCTGGTTTACTGCTATCTCATGATACTAAAGTAACTGTTTCTCATGCTGAGGACAGCGACTGTAAAGTTGAGATGAAGCTGTCATGAAGAGACACGATGCAATAGTTCGATGCGGGGAATAGCGCCCATCAGCTACAACAAGAAGCAATAGTCCACAAAATTCTCCGATTCTCCAAAATCCTCCCAAAGTACAACAACTTTCAGGACAATTCCGGGATCCGTTTATTCTCGGAGAACGTCCTGCATGGCTTTTTGCCAGTAATCAAAGCTAATCAAGGCACAGCACAGGCAACCAACCACCGAGGCCACAAAGTCATCCACAGCAACCACGAGCGCCGAGACCAGCCGTTTTCCAGCGTTCCAGAAAAACCCACGCACGTCGCCCAGCGTCGTACTGTCGTCCTCGTAGCCTCCAACTCCCCAAAATAAGCACCCCACACGTATCCACGCTGGGGCCCAGTCCTCGAGACGAGTTTCGCATACGAGAATTACCCGGACTTGTCCACCGGACTTTTTCCGAGTCCCTATAGGGATGACGATTCACAATTTTACCCAGATACGTACCGAGAGGACATTTAGGCTGTCCCTCGGGGGAAACGGCGCTTCTCGCACATCTACCCGGGTTCCTGAAACTCACGCACTTACTGCCGGTGGCTTTCGGTTAATACCGTCCACGGTGTCGGACTGTATAGCCGGGTCAAGTGGGATCCCCTCACTCCTGAACCAAATTAACCAATTCGAACCTTTCTCCTCACAAAACCGGGATCCCCTCATTCCTCTTGTTGTGTCCATCCCCCGGCCTCCGGTTCATCCGCATCCGGCTTCCCCCTCAATTCTACCCCTACATACCCCATGGGGGCGGGTTCCCCTCACCCCTTGATAAATTGTATGAACATAAATACCACTCTTGAGGCGTCGCTGAATCTGGGTGATGAAAATTGAGTGTTTTTATATATGTCAATTTGTATCTACAAAGCCGTCATAGCAGAGATCAACATATACACAAAAATGCCATATTTTGACCGCCCCCCCAATCTCAAAACGCCTGTATCCCATGGGTCGAGTAAGTCGTCAAAAATATCAAACGTAAAATGCAGGCCGGCCATGCATCCCAAATCAATCATATCAATACCTTCAAAAGGTAAAATAATGGACAAAGAAAGAAAGCAAAATATACACGTGAGCGGTCATTGAGCCCTACGTGGAAGCAGGAGCAGGAGCAGGAGAAGGGGGAGTGGCAGGCTCGTCGCCATGCGCCCGGGTGCGGATCCTGAACCGTTCGCGGAAGCGAGCGGTCAAACGATGTCGTCGGCGTTGTTGTTGCTCGTCAGTTTCATCCTGTTGCTCACGGTTGGCTTCCTCACGCACACTTCGAAGAGCTGCAAGTCGTTCCTCAACGCTAGCGTCGCGCATACGGCGAGCATTCAATGTACCATGCAGGTAGTTGCTGATGCGGCGATGACGATGTGTAGGCGTTTCCTCCGTGGCGGGCTCGGGAGTTGGCTCCTGTTCTTCGGTGCGATTCTCACCCTCCTGGTTCTCGTTATTCTCGCCTTCGGCCTGAGGTGGGTTGAGATCGATACGGCTGGAAAGATGTCAGCAAATGATCAAACATGATACTGCACTAGTCAAACATACCAAAGAGGACAGGTTCCCGAAACATTGACCAACCACGGGTCAATACACTCGGGATGGAATTGATGGTTGCATGGCAAAACGCGCAGGTCTTGTCCCTTCACAAAATCATCGGTACAGATCGGGCAGGAGAAGTTGGGATGGTCGGTAGGGGTTTCAGCTTCGGCCACTCCAGTCGCTCCAGTACGTCGCTCTTGTTTGGGCTCGGGAGTAGACGTGGCAGCATCTTGCAATGCCTCTTGAGGCGACGGCGACGTGGTGCCACCAGTCGCCATTGGTGGCTGGCGGGGCTCATCTTCTCGTAGCTGCGACACCGGGGTATCCGACGCTATCGACATCTCCACATCTCCCTTATCTCCCTCCAACTTGTCGTTGTCATTGTCCCCAAACTTGACGATTGGGATCGTCTCCAGCATCGCCCTGGCCATCCCTCTTGCCCGACTCTGCCGCGGCCGCCCTGGCCGTTGCCGCGGGCCGTATCGCTCGGGGTGACGATGAGCACGGATCGCGCCCGTAATAATGATGGAGAGAAATAGCGCCGTAATGATACCTGTGATACTGTAAAGGATAATCATAGCTGCAGCAGTAATTAGCACTGGTGTACTAGCACAGCACCCGGTTTAGCCGATGCATACCTGTATTAGGGCTGTCTGTACCCCCGCCACTATCGGCGGTTGGCATAGGGCCCGGATACGACGCCATATTCGGTACGATATAGGATATTCCTGAGTGATCTGCTGATCCAAGTTGGGTCTCAATGTCCCTTGCAGTATCGGCGTCTAGTAATGTGAATATGTCGTCGAAGTTGATGTGCTGATCATCCGTATAGTCGCAGTGGGATGCTGATGTGCTGTAGAGTACAACTGCCAACGGCTTCGGTCGCGAGGTCAGGATCCGGTCCAAGGCCTCACTTGCGTTTGAGTTTCCTGGATATGCCGACGAGTCGCAGGGAACGAAGGCGATACTAGAATTTCGCAGCGGTGGTGACCCGGTGGTTGACACTAGAGTCCCGGTGCGGTTGAAATCCTAAACTATAGTAAGCAACTGGAGTCGCTTAAGGTTTATGCGGATAAAGTCGGTTCAGTAATCCGCATTCGACAATGCATCGACAATACTGACCCTAACTTGTCGGTGACTGAGATTGAGGAGCGATCGGGTCAACGGGGCAAGGTCGATGCGCTGATCGAGGTTCACCTGATTGCCGCCAAGATGAAATCGCTTGTTGTCCGACACTGAGAGCTCGGTGGAATTATTCGACGGCACCACTGTCGAATCCACAGGCCGAACCGTGAAAAGGAGGAAGAGGAGGAAGAGACGAAGGAAAGAGAAGAGAGAAAAAGAAGAAGAGGGGCGACGAGATAGAAAAGGAAGGTGCTGGAGCTGGGCCATGAACAAGACGAGCCAGCCGGATGAGCAGGAATTTCCCCACGGGTTGTTAATTGCGAGTCTTACGGAGATGTCGGAGGGTATGGGGAATCGCGGAAGATCATTAGGTCACGGATCTCGCGCAGAAGCAAAGTGGGACACAGAAATAAGCAAAGAAAAGGGCGAAAACAGAGTCAGCGACTGGGGTGGAGAGCCCAAGTTTCCAAGGCTTATGCCCAGCCTGCTTCTGATATCACCTCCAATGCAGCAACTGGTCGATCACTACGCCGGAGCAAGCGATTAGTCTCGTCCGATCGCCTGAAGGAGTCCGGCTTATGGTTATGCTGCGTCTGTGACTGCTGCAAAACTCGCAGGAGCAGGATTGAAGGCTGTGCAGTGTGCAGATGGGCGGCGGCCACGGAGTGAAGTGAGACCGAGAGACGGTTCCAGATGGTGAGAATATCCACTACGAGGAGATGAGTGGAGGAGGAAATAATGCCAGGATGATGATGATGGAGGACGGATCTTGGAGGAGGGGAGGGTCCGGCTTGATTTATTATCCCGGGGATCCGAGACAGCCAGCTCTGAACCAGGACTTGTCAACCTCGACAAACCGCTGGGTCAGTGGGATCGAGAACAATCCGATTTAAACAACCATGTCCGAATACGTCCAGGGCGTGATCTCGTTATCAAAAAAAACAGACTTTCCGGCCGCAAGCGTGGGAAAAGCCACTGGGCGCTGTTTGACGGTTCCAGAAATGCTCGTCGTGGGGTGACTCCAACCCCAGGCTGACGCTGACGGTAAGCGTATTCTTAAGCGTACCCAGAATTCAGGGCGCTGGTCTGATCTCAATGCTCACTCATCTTGATCATGTCACATCTCGCCTGAGCTACAGTCATCGGCTAAATTTATTCATTATTGTCATCAGCTTACTGTTCAGTGTTGAGGCATTGGAATGTTGAAGCAATCGTGAATCGCACGGCCATCGAACCCTGAAACCTTGAGGCTGCTCCAGCTCAGGACCGTGGATCGCAAATGCCGAGTTGAAAGGCAACCAACCAAACAATTTGATTGACGAAGGGCCGGATGTGTGGATGCGTGGACGCGGGGATCGACCGACCGGCTGCCAGCGCACCCAATTGACCAGAGATTATTGACCACTCCAATTTTTAGGCCGAAAACGGTCGACAATCGCACGTCCAAACGATTCAAACCGCATCAGATCTGGGCGCATTCAGGTCATGAAAAGACCAAATATTAAAAACTGACATTCCTGCCCTATCATCATGTCATTCGTTCTGTTTTCCGATCCTCATTGAGCCCTTTTCCCTGTGCTGACAGCGCTGACAGCCACACCTCACACTTGGAGCGGGCTTCGTAAGCTCATCCATCAGCTGCACCGCCCCCAGGATGACATCTCATTAATTTCAAGATCAAGACCAAATGCAGGAATTGCGCCCGGCGTTATCGGCATTTTCCGCCATAGAGCCATGAAACTTCAACTCCATGACATCCAATTGGTCATTGTCGATCTTACAATTGCTCAACTGATAATCTTCCAGGAATCAGAGGTCATGATTACAGGAGCAGAGATAGCTCCACAAGGCGATCAGCCATCCCACTCCGCGATCGGAGTACATGCTTATCACGATCAAGAGTCTTTGCGATAGCAGCAAAAAGCCCTGTTTCAGCGATAAAGAGGGTCATGTCCGTCAGCGTGTCAGAGAATCAACGCCCAAGGGTGCGCAACTCGGGGAGCTTGCCGAGACATGAGAAGCGAATACGAGGACAAGATGACCCGAAGCAGTCTCCGAGGCACATCTTGCCGAGAATTTGCAATTGACAGCGATTTCAACGACGTTCCCTCTGACTTTACAATTCGAATGATTATGATGGTGCCATGAGCAGGAGATCTGTTCACCCTGAGTCTATTTGAGTCAGTCCCTCTGGATCGTCCGTCGATCATCACCAGGATGTCGGTTTGTTTAGTGCTCGGTGCTCGGTGCTCGGTGCTCAGCCGCTGGCTTGTCGCGAAAGCAAGGATCACTATCTCCAAGGAGTGCCTCACTGCCTGCACTCCACAGTCAGCCATCAAATGTGCGGAGGCGCCCGAACGGAGTTTGGCGTGTTGGTTTACTCCTGATCTCACTTCTGAGCCCCTCGCTCGACTCTCATGGCCAAGCTGATGCTTTGCATCTCTCTTTCTTGTATCTTCCAGAGTCATCACCCGCCTTTTACTGGATGATTTCCTATTAAGGCTGATCAATCAGACAAGCTCCGGGATTCTCGACAGTCGACAAGCAAGGTCGACGACGATCTTATAGGCCAGTACTGAACATTGATAACATCCAGCCAAGTTCCTACTGGTCTCCTGCCATTGCAAACCAATAGCTTGATGGTGTCATGGCGCTCGCAAGGCAGTCCGGTTATAGGCATGGACGTCGCAACCCTTGAAGCTCTCGCCTCTACCGGCGGAAAAAACTACTGGATATAGTAAACGAGCTGAAATCGAAGACAGTTCAAGCCGATCTATGGCACATTCTTCCTGGAGGACATTGCGAGGCTGGTTTCAGTTTTGTCGCATTGGAATGCTCCCAGGCTTCCAGATCTGCGCAGAGTGTCTTGGATGAGAGTCCTGGGAGATGCAGGGGTGTGACTTCCAAGCCCAATAGATTGACGGATAGCCAGAAGGGTCCAATCTGTTGTGCTGCGTTGTAGCTTGCGTGTTGTGTAACATTTGTGATTTTGAGGCTGCTCGCTCATTTAGTATGCACAATACACTGCACAATCGAGGCTGTCTAGGTCCGGTCCGTTCAAGGGTTGAGCGGGGGTCGGAAGGGAATTACCTTATCTTAATCGTCGATTAAGTTAGATAGCCTGCCTCGGGGCTCGGGAGTTGAAAGCGATAAATTGAAGTCTGACGATTAATATTGTTTGTTGCTGGTCTAAGCAGAAGCATATGGCAGGGTACCATATCTCGTAACCGATACCTTTAAAGCCTCACCTGCACACCTTAAGGGGAGTTTGTTCCCCATCACGCATGGCTATTGGCGGAACATGCAGGGTCTAGACCGGCCGTGGGCGACGCTCAGTTTGTGTGTTCAAGCCACTTTTGACTGTGCGCAGTGGCAAATGCGAAACGGTAAGACCTCAGGAAGAGCCAGCTGAGCCACTAGTGACTGGCTTCAACAAGGTCACTCGGCGATGGAATCTCAAAGTTACAGTAGCCCTCGCACATGGACAAGGCCCGGTGGAGGGGAAGTTGGAAGGGAGGAGGAAAAGAAAAGAAAAGTCAAAAAAGCCACACCAGGAAGACGCTTATCATAGCCGACCTGGGATGGAGAAGGACGGAAGGATCAATGGAAAGCCTTGACCAGGGGAGTCTGTGCATGAGGCTGGCAGATATCAGGTATTCTGTCAAGATTTGACCGACATGAGCAGCGGGTGAGTAAAATAATGTCTGATGACAGTCGGTGAAAGTGTCAGATGGTCGCTGAAATCCGGAAACCCAAAGATCATCATCGCCTTTAAACAAGAGCGAGAGCAGGGTACAGAAGTAAAGAGCAGAAAAGGGAAAACGCCCTCCCAGGCCAGGCCAGGCAGGTTTGGCCAAAATTAGTGACAGCCGCATGCTCACTGGCCCAGAAAGGCACCTCCTGCTGCGAATCCCCGCTTCTATCTGGGGCCTCGAACATTTGAGATGGCCATTTTGGTGCATGCGGTGGAGGCGTTCATTGGCCCGTCCCGCCACGGAGGCGTTTCTGAGGGTGTCAGTTCTTTCTGCTCTGCTCTCCTTTCGCTGCCTGTTGAAGATGCTGGAAACTGCTCAGTTCCAGTGGGCGTCGTGCGCTCGCTGCGGCATCTGGACACGGGCTGTTAATTGCCTGGATAATCTGCGCAAAACGCGCCGTCTCCGCGACAGGGACTGGCCTCTCCGGGGTGCGCGCACTTTTGCGGTCGACAGCAACAATCGTGGATAAATCACCATAATAAGCATATTATAGCAAAGACTTTAAAAAACTAAGCCTCTCAACATCTTTTTGCTCGAGCCACACTGGTGTGACTTCGTACTTTTCTGCTGCTGTCTTTCCCAGTTCCCACACTGCAACCACCCCCCTCCCTCTTTCCATTATCCACCGTCCTTTCAACCCCAGATCTTCAACGGAGCCTAATTACTGGTCTTTCGTTCGTTTTGGGAACGTTCTTGGTTTCGTTTTTATCAACGTTGGCCCTTCGCTGCCGCCTCTGCTACCTCGACGAATCCAGCAGAAAGAACTTCGCAAGCGGGCCCAGTCCCATCGAATCTGAAAGAATCAAAGGATCAAAGAGTAAAATGCACACCACCACTGCCACATAATCTTGCTTTGTTACTTGATCAGGAACGTATCTTCAGTGCCACTCAGTTTCTCCAGCTGATGCTGAGTGGCCCGGGTACTTCCCTGCTTCTCTCTCTTGACATGAGTGTACTCGGTCGACACGATGTCAGCGAAAGCCGTCACCACTCTCCCAGCGATTCCTCGTGTTCCGGAGGATGGCCAGTTTCCTGCTATTTACTGGAAAAGGAGATACGACGTACGGCATCCTTCTCCGTAAGTCTGCCGTCCCACCCCCGCCTCCTCCCCCC